AAATCAATCTTCCAGAAGACTTTCTGACAGTTAGGCGTGGGCGTGCTTAAATCACGGTCCCAAAACGAGATTGTCAGGATCTCACACATACGGGGGTAGCTTCCAAAGAATTGTGGATTACAAGTCCGATGCTATGCTGGAATAATTATTGCCTTTTTCTATTTAGTAGTTGAGTACTATTAGGAAATCATATTTTTAGGAAATCTGTTAGATTAGGAAAGTTCACATAGATTAGGATTCTAGATTATTGGGAAGTCTTTTTAGCTTGAGTTTTTGGGGGGAGCAGACGGGACGACTAGGAGTAACAAGAAACAAACGGCTTCGACTTTTGATTCTCTTCCTATTATTTTCCTTCGTCTTGCCCAATAAAAAGTTTTGTTCATTACTTTCTTTGGGGAATCTTTTGATGATAACAGAAATAATTAATTCGCGCGGTATTACTCCAACGAGGATGAACTAATCACCCATTTCTAGTCAAGGAGACAACTGAAGATTTGGTTCAACAATAACTGTGAGATCTAAATTATTTTAAGTGCTTCCTTCAACCATTGGTATTTGTATGTTTTCTGCTTTTTGTGGCTATGATTATTGTGTGTAATTGAATAGGTGCGCAATATTTAATTATTCACGTAATCTATCTGCTAATTAGAGTAGTTGAATCTGTAATTGCTTGACTACTCTAATCCCGGTAGCAACTGACGTAATTGGATTTATGTCAGGGAAATGTACAATCTAATTTAAATAAACCCCGTAGCATATTTATTGATTAGAGTAGGATTTCTCTAGTTTATAATGCAATTGGAGAATTAAATCCTATGGTCGTACCTAGAGTTATTCCTAAATTAGAGAAGTAGTCAATAGTTGTACCTTGACTATTGAAACAGTAAGAAGAAACTGACTGTCAGTTCGTATCGACAGTTAAAAATCTGCTTATTAATGAATATTGGAATTATAACTGCATCAATAATCAGTTACTTGAACCATCTCTGAAGTGTAACCTTGGCTAGAGTTTTTCCATTAATTGTCTCTCCTAATTTCTTTTGCACGTTTCATTGCCTTGGTGATATTCTATTAGTCGTTAAATCTTGAAAATCCCCCCATTTTGTTTTAACTTGAAAAGGAACAAACTTTCCCCTGTCCCTGAGGATACGACCCTACTTGCCCTATATACAAATTAAAGATTTTTCGTGAATAAATTCTGGTATATCGGATTTAGTAAACTCTTTGGAACCAGAGTGACTCTAGTAACTCATTGCACATCCAGAGTCCCTACTCCAGTATTAGAATTGACACGGAACTACCTTGTTGGCGACTAGGATTATTATTATTATTATTATTGCACAGGCTCTACACCTGTCAGACATCAAGACTTCTGCCGAGGAATCATTCTGGTTTGAAGCTTTGATGGTCTTCCCAAGCCCTTGCATCCTGTCTTCAGACATGCATTTACAACCACCAAGCTATTCTTTGCAATTTTGTAGTTCATGAGCTCGCATATTTGTGATGGATAACGAGGTACAAGAAGCGGGGTTGGAGGATGCAGTCGAAGTGTTTCTTTGATACAAGCTTGCAAGTATGGTAACTGTGTTAAGCGCTTCTCACTTAAGGCTATTCTTTCAGTGCATTTTTCAAAAGTTCATCAAGAAGTTTAGAAAAGGCTTCTTGGTTTCTTGTTACTTCTGCCATTGCCCATTCAATTGCTGTGCCGAGGGTTTGTTGAGATATGCCAACTTTTCTTGCAGATTTTTATTATATTATGCTTGGTACTAAAATAATTTAATTAGTAGAAGAATAAATTTTATTGTTAGGATATTTGTTAGCCAAAGATCATGTTGGTTTGTTAAGAAATATTTTAGTCAAGATTTTCTAGGTAGAAGATTATGTTATTAAGTAGTTTTGTTGAGATTTTTTCGGTTAATTGTTAGCTAGAAATTGTGTTAGTTTGTTTCATATAAATACTATAAATAGTGAGTTGATGAATGAATGACATAAACTCATTTTCAGTTTCAATACAAGTCTTTTGTAAGCCATTTTTTGCAATGCTAACTAAAGTATTGTCTCTTAATTTATGCCCTAAAAAAAATTAACAAAGTGGTATCATGAGCTTATGTCTTAAGGCCTTAAACATAAGTATGTAATAGATTTGATTTCAAATGGAGGGATCACCATAGCCTTTGTGAAATTTGGGAATAATTTAGCTGATTCTTTTACAAAAGCTCTTCCTAGAAATTTAGTACAAAGTACTTTGTATGGAATTGGATTAAAACCTTTGTTAAGTACCAACAATGGGAACCCAGCTTCTTCTTAGTAAATACTAAGACTTGAAGTTTAATGGGTAAAACAAGTTGTTGATATGCGTTTATAAGCACTAGAACTTCCATTCCAAAATTTATAAAGTCAAGTGTTGACAATTTACATTTAGGAAGGATGAATATAAATCCTTAATGCAGTATATTGATTTAAATGTCTTGAGTAACTGGGACACTATACGAAACTCCACTTGTATGAATGTTAGAAGTGGTGCCACTTCAACGAGAGAGTTGGCAGTCTCTCATAAAAATTCATGAACAATCAGGATTAGCACATGGCTATTAATGTGCTAAGGTAGTTAAAAATTCTTGAAAAGTAAGATATGTGTATTGTGTGCTTTTTACAATATAAAGGATTGGAATTCAATCTTCAAACACCATCAATTTTATAGCCTTGTGCATTAGGGAATGGTTCAAGTCGAGAGACACATTCTTTAAGTATAATACTTGTCGTATGAAAAGAAAATCCAAACTAGCGGCAAACTAGCAGGGAATTGTTAGTAGTTTGTCATTAATTTATGTATTTAGAGATTTTACTACTATGAATTTTTATTTAACTTAGTAAGATAGTTATTTAAAATCTATAAGTTACTTTTATCATTGTATGTCTTCATAAAAGAGGAGTTTATCAGATTTACGGCTCTTATAAAAAAAGATTGATAATTCAATTATAAGGTCACATTGAACCCTTTTTTTATTTGACTGTCTTCAAATTTATTTTTTGTTATAGATTCCCTCCCTTCTTGCAATATTTATCTTTTTCAATGAATTTGAATTATTTACTATGAACCATGTACAATAATTTTTCCAAATGCACTTTTTATTTATACATGAGCAAGTTTAGTAGTTTTGGTATAATTCATGATAAATTGGTTGTTGCATATTTTGTGTTTAATTAAAAATAAATCAGGATTTTTTTAATATTAGGTATATAATAAATGTAAAAGTTTAATTACTATCTCAAACAAGCCTATTTATTTTCTAGTGAAATGTAATATTCGATGAATTTTATTATATTATTATACATTGAAGTGCAAAAGTTTTTTTAAAAAAATTAATTGTTATCAACAAATGGAATAGGCAGTAAGCTTTTACTTTTAAGAACGGAAGAAATCTCCTACTACAAATCTAGGATCGTACCACAGGAAACCTAAACAACTTACAATAGACTCAAAAGCAAGCAGCTCAACAGAAACATCTTATACAAAAATATCTTGGTTTTGCACATAATGTTTATTTTAAATGACATCTGTATAGATTACTTTGGAATATTTATTGGTAATAAACATTTTTCAACGGCTAAATCAATTAACCACACCAGACAAAGTTACTCGCTTTCGGGTTTGTAGCAATTTATCAAAATGGGCTTCAAAGGAAATGAAAGAGCTCATGCCACACAAAAAATAAAATAAAATCTTATAAGGCAGCCGAACAGAAAACCAGGCCCAAACTCGAGGCCCAGTATTACTCATACTTTCTTTTCTTATCAATTTATAACCTAATATATGTCTTGGAAACTAGCCTGCTATAAAGGTCAGACCAACTGGACTAAACTTGAAAGCCTTAATGTGAATGGCAATGTTTCTAAATTTGGACCAAAGAGTGAACCGGAAACCTTTTAGTTCGTAGTTTGATCGGTTCAACCCTGATTCAAAAGTTTAGCATTAAAAATTTTGAATAAACCAAAATATTTATTTTAGGAAATACAAATTTATTAAATCATAAAAGTATCTTGTTTTTAGTGTAATTTATGACTTTGAGCATTTGATGACAAGTATTTTGGCAGAAGGTATGTAAGGATGTATTCTTGAAGTTTTTAATTCCGGTTGATTTTCACTAGGATTTTAACATTTTTTTGGTGCCTTTCGTAAGTTATGTTTACCGTGCCAAATTTCCTTCCTTAATAATGTAAAAAAAATGCCACTTTTTAGCAAAATTTGTCCAAATATAAATATTAATAAGCCTCATAGATTTTGTTATTTACTTTTGTAAATAAGTGATGTTAGGTTTTCCTTTAATCACTTTGGCATTGATTTAGAAATTAATTTTCCTTTCTTATATATTTTAATGCAGCTAAGGAAGGAGAATTCATGTGGCCATCGAATTCTACCGGCAGTAAAAGTTTAGGCCAACAATTTTCTGAATTTGTTGAAATGTGAGTTTAAGAAAAGGGCTAGGATAAAAATCTCGGTGTGACAAAAAAAAAAAAGAAAAAAGATTTTGATTAGAATTATTAGAAAAAAAGTAATAAATGATTTTGTTGACTACGACCAGTATAGGGCAAATGTTCTGATCATGTTCATCTAGCAAAGACAGAAAAGGGAGACTTTTGATTTAGTTTCTCTGTTTAGTTTAAACAGTTTATCATTTCTCCAAAGCAAGATGATTACTTCTTCTGAAGACTTGTTTAGAGACAACCGGTACAACATGATGATAGAACTACACATCTTATTTATGGATTGTCTAAGCAATTGCAGTTTATACGTCCAATACATTTTGTTATTTGCATGTCTGTTTTGTGCTTAAGAAAGGAAATTTATGCAATTTTATGCTTTTAGTTTCCGGTATTTGATTTATCAGGAAAGTTAAAAATAATCCTTAGTGTACAATTTATTATCAAAAAATGTACCTTGGTTTCTAGAATAAATAAATATTTGAAGCTTAATTTCACGCAATTGAAAACCTATATACATGCAGGTCATTGCGTTGTATGTCTCAGGGGAGCCGAATGCTATCTTGACACCTGAACATCAAAAGGAGATTATTCGCTATGTATACAATCATCAGGTCTTTACTCTTAGTTGGCACATATATATTCGGTTTAAAGCTACAATTATTTTTCTTTTTACCTAACAAAATCATCAATTAATCTTATTATCAACATCTGTTTTGAGCATAGAATGAAGATGGAGGTTGGGGACTTCACATAGAGGGCCACAGCATCGTATTTAGCTCAATCCTTAACTACGTTACGTTGAGATTGCTAGGAGAAGGACCTGAAGATGGGGAGGAAAAGGCCACGGCTAGAGCCCGAAAATGGATTCTTGATCGCGGCGGTGCAGTTGCAATTTCCTCCCGGGGAAAGTTTTTTCTAAGTGTATGTTTACTATGAACTCTTTTGTTTCAGTATATATCTTGTAGTAGGGGAGGTGGAGAGGAAAAAAGCCATTAAGAAATCATAGTAGTAAGTAACAAAATGGCATATTTAATTAGCAATTCTTGCAGCGTTAATTAAGTAATTCTTTCTAATTAACTATGTTCAAATTTTTTGTGAGAATTTCAACTCAGTTAAGTAAAAAAAAAGTAACTTCTTTACAGCTTCTTGGAGTATACGAGTGGGAAGGCTGCAATCCTATTCCTCCTGAGATTTGGTTGCTTCCAAAATCCTTTCCTATTCATCCAGGTTATTTTTCGTTAACATCTTCATTTTCATCTGAAGTTGCAGATCGTGTCCGTCTGCATTTCAATGAACAAGATTTTCTGATTTGGATAATATATCAACTCTCCAATGCAGGGAGGTTGATGTCTTATTTTCGATTGACATACATGCCCATGTCATATTTATATGCGAAGAACTTTGTCGGAACCATATCTGGACTGGTAAAATCTTTAAGACAGGAGCTATATGTAATGCCGTATCAGGAAATTGATTGGAACAAAGCAAGAAATACTTGTGCAATGGTCAGTTCAATTACTAAGTCCCTGTTCGATAATCTAGTTCAGTACTTAAACTTAATGGATTCAGATATTAACATATTTAGATCGTTTGATAACAAAAAATTGAACATCTAAATTAATTAAATGGCACTGAATTTTCTAGGCAAAATTTGCTTCCAAAATTAAATGATAAACTATTTACTTATTACTAAATGTGATATGCACTAAACGAGACTTTCACATGAATATGAAATTGTTAATTATGTCATTATTTAAAGCATGTCATTTGCCTATCAGGAGGATCTCTTTCACCCATTTCCATGGGTACAAGATATGATATGGGGATTCCTGTACTATTTAGCTAAACCTATTCTTACTCGATGGCCTTTTTCCATTTTGAGGGAAAAGGCTTTGAGAAAAGCAATGGAACGCGTACATTACGAGGATAAGTCCACCAGCTACGACAACCTATTCCTGTGTTGCAGTTGTTGAGAAGGTAGTTGCATGAGATCGTGATTAGAGAACCCTATGACAATAGAATGCAATAACAAAGGTGACTTGTTGCAGGTAATTCGCCTAATTGCTTGTTGGGTGGAGGATCCAAATTCAGAAGCCTATAAACGCCGTCTTGCCCGAATTCCTGACTTTTTTTGGGTAGCAGAGGATGGATTGAAGTTGCAGGTCATTTTCTTCTCCCAAATGCCTAAGCCATTCCATCAAATTTGGATAAGCAAGTTCTTCTTTTACTGCTGTAATGGGCCCAAATACCTTTTTTATTTCTTACCTATCAAAAAGCAAAAAAAAAAAAGGGAAGAAAAGATGACCTTGGCCAATTGAATGGTTCCAATTTCTAGAATGAAGTTTGATACACCTGGCTATGTAATATCCTGCAGCTTCTGGGAAGCCAAACGTGGGATGTTGCACTTTCCATTCAAGCAATATTATCTAGTGATCTCGCAGAAGAATATGGTCCAACACTTAAGAAAGCACATGATTACCTAAAAGCATCACAGGTATCATCATGGCGTGGAGGAGGCATGGTTCGCCAACTCGGCCGAGTCGTAACCGGAACGGTAGGTGCCGTTCTGATACCGATACCCGAAACGCCGATTATACCATATCCGGTTTGAATCACTCCGAATCAGTTGATATCGTCCGAGTTAGAACCGTGTAGCAAGATACCGGCCAAATTCTCGGATTCGACTCGGATATGTACCAGTCAAAATCATAAACAGCAACTAGGAAGCCAATAATTTCATTTTTTACTTTTACCAAAACCAAACAAAAAATGAACAGAGAACAAAAGGCCACAAAAATGCAATTATCTAAGTGAATTATTGTCCTACAACTACAAAAGGTTGTGCACCACAGCTATATGGCTGTTGCAGAGTCTTTTCCCCATGCTTTCTTGTTTTCTTTTCTGCCACAAAGACAAGATTTAGGTGAAAGTGGGGATAAGGGGAGAAACATACCAGCAATTTATGTGTGATCCATCACTACTTGTTGCGCTTCACTCTAGATTCTGGAGTGATTATTTGGAGAAACAAGTCGAAGGGTTCTTCAATTTCTTCATCATTCGGCTGCGGCTGCGGCTGTGAATGAAGGAGGGGAGAAAAACGGAGGTGACGGCAGGTGGGGAAGAAAACAACAGCCGGAAAGGGAAAGCGAAAGAAAGAATGAAGGTGACGGCCGGCTAATTCCGCAGCTAAAGGGGCTCTTCAATTTCTTCATTATCTAGCCGTGAAGGAGGTGAAAAAGTGCGAAAGAGAAATTGGAAAAAAAACGAAGAGAAGATAGAGGAACAACACACGGCTAAACCTAGGAGCTGCGGCTGCACTAAACTATGGAGAAGGTGGGCTTTTGCATCGGAGCAGGCGATAGGGAGAAAAATAGAAGGAAAAATTAGAAGCACTTAAAGTCCAACTTTGGCCCAAGTAATTAAGAGATTAGGCTCCTAATCTTAAACTCAAGCATCAGCCAAAAGGTCGGCATCTTCTTTCAAAATATCTTATCAATTTTAATTTTTTTAATTTAGCATTCATATATGATATTTAGATATTTGTAAATTTATGTAACGCATTTTGACACTTTTTACATATTATTAAGTATTTGATTAATTTGTATTAGTAATCTCTTTATCTAAATTTTAGTTAGAAAATATGTAGTGATTATTTGGATACATTTTAATGATCATAAATGCAGTTTATGTATTTTCATGTATCTCAATTATGTTGGTTAAAATGATTTTAGGTAAATTAATTAGAAAAATTAAAAAAAAAAAGAGTTTACTTACAAGTTCTAGTTAGTTAAACAAAAAAATGAATTGGGCAAATTGTCAAAGTATAAATTACCTTGCATAACTAAACTTGATTAGAAAAAATTTCATATATTTAGATAATAAAAAATAATTTTATTATTATCTAAATAATGCATATTACCTTGCATAATTAAACTTGATTAGAAAAATTTTAATATAGTTAGATAATAAAAAATAATTTTATTAATAGGAAATTGAGATCAATCATCTGGGCACTGCAGTGGATCAATATAGGATGAAAATGTTTATTTAAAATATGGTGAAAATGCTTGCTTCTTTATGTTTTTGCATTTCATAATATTATTTGATAGGTATTTATTTTTTTTTATTGTATTGAACTAAACCCTGCTACTTCTTTTGTGTACTGAGATTTGTATAATATTATGTAAGATATGATGATTTTATTCTTACATATACTTTCTTATCTCATATAAAATAGGATTAGAACGCACACTTGATTCTAAAATCATTTATTACTAATGCTATAGGCCCTTATGGTAATGACAGCATTATTTTATTTAATAATTAGTAACTATATATGATAATGTAGGTATTTAGTAAATTTAATTTGATAATTGTGCTTTTTATGGTATTTTCGATTTTTAGTAATTTTTTTAGATTTTTTGAAAATTTTTATATACTATAATGTGCGTATCACCTGATATTCAACTAATATGCCGCGACGGACGTGGAACACCAGAGACAGCGACGCGACCTCTATCCGCGGCGGTGAACCATGGGAGGAGGAGGAGGAGGAGGAGGTGGGGAGGCAGAAAAAAACTTGAAATTTTCAAAACCGACCTACATATGTAACTTCTGACGTTGATATTTTTGTCTACATCAAGCTTCAAGATGACCCTCCAGGAAACTTTCACGAAATGTATCGCCATATTTCTAAAGGTGGTTGGACATTTGCAACTCAAGATCATCGTTGGCAAGTCTTAGATTGCACTGCTGAAGCACTTAGGGTACAACTACGGGTGTGGGTATTGCCCTCAAAATTTGATGAAAATCATATGGAGGAGATAAGTATTTTGAACTTTTCAATTGAACAACAATAATCTTGCCTTCTTTCTCCTTTTCACTTTATATAGATTTCCCATAACAACGCAACTCCTAGTGTATGGGATTAATACAAAAATTGTGTTCGAACGTTACTCTTCTCCGATCCTCCAAACTCCATTATTTTTCTTATGCGTTATAACCTTCTATTGTTGTATTTAGACTCTTAGGAATAAATCATTTAAACAAATGGTCATGTTCTTGGTATTTATTGTAGACTACTTTAGAAGTAAGAGATACAACAGTCATCATATGTTTTTGTCATTCTGTCTAATATTTAGCTGTTTAAAATATCACACGCTCCTTAGATTCTTTTGAGTTTGGGCATCATTAGCAAGCTGCTGTGGAATTGTTTATTGGCATCACTGTCAATCGGTTCAAAGACTCGGTCGAGTCGTTACGGTCTCGGATCCTCCCAATACAATACCGGGACGATAAGATTTCGAGATACTTGACTGGCTGAAAAATCAATCGAGATGTTATCGTGAAAGGTTGAAATGGCCGAGTCATACCGAATCATCTTGAGTCAATTTGAATCTAACAAAAAATCTTTAGAAAAAAAAGGAAAAAAAGGATAACAAAAGTGAAATCCGGGGCCATTGGAGTAACAACTACTACTAGGTCTCAACACACGAGAAGGAGAAGTCAATATCGAAATCATTCATTGGGAAATAAGAACAAATTTGCCAAAATACTGATCATGTGAGAAAATGCAGTAATATTATTCCAACTTCGTTCATGTATCAAATATATGTACCTTATTGAACATGTACTTGATACATGAACACACCAATAATATACAACTTTACTTTTCTTTCAAAAGCTATCACTTCCAATTTTTCTTTCAAAAGTAGCAGCCATCCAAGGTGACAGAAAAAGTGAGAGAAAGAGGTGTAGAGGAGAAGATGTCCAAAACTTCAGTAGAGGAGAGGTGAAATTTGGTGATACTTTCTCTCATCTCTTTTCTTATTTGGATGCTCTTAGGGAAGCGAGATAGTACCTAGAATAGTAGGAATCAACTAGGAGAACTAGGATTTGTGATTACCAATCAAGCTTCTCTTTCCTATTGGAAATAGCTAGTCGTTAGCTTTAGTTGCAGCAGTGGCCCTTTCATTGCCCTCCCTTGGTCTTTCTTTTGAAATAAGGACTTTTTCCATGGGTCAGAAGGTATGAATTCATTTCTTTAAGTTTTTATATACTTATTAGTAGGTATGAATTAGAAACGTATTTGGATTAATTATAGCCCTTATGTAATGGGCCAAAGTTGTATTAATTATGATAGTGTCCAAAATAAAATTTAGAAATTTAGATTTATCTGGCTAATTTGTGCTGTTGGAATTTATTTTGGGCCAAACACAAGTTTAACACTTATCTCACATATAATTCAAAGTACATAATAAACTAGTCCAAATTCATTTGATATTTAGTGAAAATATTAAAATAACTGTTATATCTTTTAATATAAAATTTCTTGCTAGTAATTAATTTTACGAAATAACTATTAGTAGAAGTTTCATCTTTATTGACTTTAGCTATAATAGTAATTAATTATAATTATAATCATAACGGTCCAGCTATTTGCATAATTTTCTAAAATGCAGTAATAATTTTAATTAACATTTAAAATTTTGAAGTTCTTTTAATAAATGAACAAATGATCATTGTAGCGGGTTTACAATTTTAGAATATTAAATGCTTCAAAATTTGCGTCTCATCGAGACTGCGACTAATATATCGAGACCGATGTGGAACGTTCCGAGCCGCGACTGCGCTCGTGACTTTGAACCATAGTCTGTCATTCTATATGTTTGGCTGTTGGTCCCTCCCGGCTAAACTCAAATCCAGGTTTGTTCGTCTGGAATTCCCTCACTCATCTCTTTATTTTCTAGGTTGTACTATCCTTTGCACAAATGCCACCGGAGCTTGTTGGTGAGAGAATCGAAACAGAACTGCATTATTTTGTCCCTGCAAGTAAGCAAAAAATCACTGTAACTTGCTAAATCCAATTGTCCTTCCTTTATACATCTAACTCCATTCCGTCAATGCCTGTATCAGTTTTCTTTCATTCTGAATTCAACATAGAGAAAAAGCGGGGGGTTCTCACCCTAGGAACCCGAGCAATCATATCGTTGGTTGATGGTAACTAGCTGCTCTCAAAATTCTTCCTTTGTCAGTGGTTAATTGTGAACTCGATGATTACAGTTTTGTCTCACAATATGCTAGTACTAAAAAATTATCCTTGAATGGTCCTTTTTCAGAAGTTCAATAGTACTTTTCTTTTTGATTGATTGAAAAAGTAAATTAAGGGGGGTGATCTATAAATTTTGATATTTATCTTTTTTTTTTGTTTTTATCAAATTTTTTCCGACACGGGGATGTAAAAAAGGAAAGAAAGAAGAATATGTCTCATAGAACAAGTACAATCAAAAATCAAATAGAAAGAATTATAAAAGAAAAAAAAATAACCCCAACGCCAAGAATAGATATAAGTCCTAATAAAAGAAATTGGAATACTAAAGATTAGAATTGCCAAAATACCTCACCACTATAATTATTGCCAAATTTCAAATTTGATCCCTTTATGTCATTGATTAACAACCAAATTGGAACACAATTATCAATGAAGGTTTTGTACCTCGGTACAGGGCAAGAAATTTTAATGTTTTCATTAATCTTCCAGAAACAAATCAAAAGAATATTGGAACCTTTGCCTCGATTTGGATTCACAGGTTTTCTAGAAGCATATTTTCATAAGATTTTCGTGATTTTGATTAAGATTGTACAGGCGAATCTTTATGTCAAATAGTTAAATTACCCACCATCATTTATTTTACACTTTTTCAAAACAACTAAATGTAACATAAGACATGTATAATTTTAGTTGAGATTCTTTAGCATTTGGAAAAGTCTAAATGCATTGTTCTTTCACTGTAGTATAACTATTGAAATTCAAAGCCAATATTTGTTGGCTTTGAATTCTTTGGCCTAACTTTCTAATCCCACATCGGTTAGTTTGAGATTTGAGGGGTTGCTTGAGAGTTATAAATTAACTCTCAAGCTTCCTAATAGAAATGTACCAAAAACAAAGAATTCTTTTGTAATTCTTTCTTCTCCTAAATTATAAAAACGGACTGCTTGAGTGGTGCTCGGAAATAAGGCAAAATTGGCCGAACTCCATTATCAATTTTTCAAATGCGTTCTTTCCTTATCTCTTTTATTTATTCCGCATTTATTTGGTAGTTTCCTTTCAATTGTAGTATAGTATTCAATATATTTGTCGGGTTTATTTGTAGTGTTTTATACGATTCATTTGGATGTATTTTCTTATTCGTGTGTACGTAATATTTATGTATACACTGGTCTAGTTGTGATAATACACCGTGTACGTAAATTCTATTTAGGAAATTGGGTTTTAAGTGGGACATCTTGTGACCCCTCCAGCCTTTTCTGGAAATTTATTTGGAATGGTAATTCTGTCTAAGGAGATTGTTTGACGATCTTTCTTGGGAATTACTGAATCGGTTTAAATTACTAGTTGAATTTTTGAGTGAAAAATTACTCGATTTCCCCAACAAGTGGTATCAGAGCCGAAAGTTCGTCCTTTGGCCTGTTTGTAATTTTTTTTTTTATACTGAATACTATTATTTGAGTCTGTAATGGCATCAGATAATTCCACGTCAAGAATTACATCTGAGGCATCGGTTTCCTCGTCCACATGATCAAGGACTCCAATGTCAAGTTTGAAGCTGGCGGTGGAGATATTTGACGGTACTGGCAATTTCGACATGTTGCAAGGCGAGGTCATAGACTCCCTTTTTCAACAGGATCTTGACATTGCCATTGAAAAAAAGAAATCAGATGACATAGAAGACAAGGAGTGAAATACCATAAATCGATTGGCATGCAGAACTATTCGATCGTGTTTGTTAAGAGAGTAAAAGTATGCTTTCAAAAACGAGACCTCTGCATGAAAATTGTGGAGGGCATTGGAGGAGAAATTTCTGAAGAAGAGTGGTCAGAATAAACTCCTTATGAAGAAGAGATTGTTGCGATTCGATTACCAACCAGGTACTACTATGAATGAACACATCACTATGTTTAATCAGTCAGTAGCAGACCTGTTAAATTTAGATGTGAAATTTGAAAATGAAGATTTAGCTTTAATGTTGTTGTCATCCCTTCCTGATGAATTTAAATATTTGAAAACTACGTTACTTCATGGGAAGGAGAACGTGTCTTTAGATGTTGTATGTTCTGCTTTGTATAGTCATGAATTGAGAAAGCAGGATAAGATGAAAAAGAAAGTAGTTACAGTAGATGAAGCGCTAGTGGCAAGAGGTCGTCAACAAAACCAATCAAAGGGGAGAAGAGAAAGGTCCAAATCGAAAAGCAGCGTTGCCAAAGATGAGTGTGCTTTCTGTCGTGAGAAAGGTCACTGGAAGAAAGACTGTCCAAAGTTAAAGAAGAAAGAGAAAATTCCGCAAGACGTAAATGTTGCAGAATGCAAAATTGATACGGAATCAGATTTCTCTTTGGTTGTATCACCTTTAACATCCCATCCAGATCAGTGGATTTTAGATTCAACTTGTACCTACCATATGTCTCCTATGCGGGAGTGATTCTTTGAATTTGAAGAATTTGATGGTGGAGTTATATACATGGAAAATGACAATCCATGTAAAACAGGTGGGATAGGTTCAATCAAACTGCTTAATTATGATGGATCCACTAGAATCTTGAAAGATGTTCGGTACGTGCCGAATTTGAAGAGAAATCTCATCTCCTTGGGACTCTTGGAGTCAAAAGACTTGGAAGTGAAGATGCGAGATGGAATTTTTAAAATAATTTCGGGAGCACTTGTGATATTGAAAGGTGTGAGAAAGAATAATCTGTATTACTACCAAGGTAGTACAGTTGTTGGGACAGCAGCAGCAACAACATCTTCCAGTAGCAAGAAAGATGTGGAGGTAACAAAGTTGTGGCACATGCGATTGGGACATGCTGGTGAAAAATCCTTACAAAATCTTGCCAAGCAAGGATTGTTGACAGGTACGAAAGTTTACAAATTAGAATTTTGTGAGTATTGTGTTCTGGAAAAACAAAGAAGAGTAAAATTTGGCACTGGCATCCATAATACCAAGGATATTTTAGATTATGTGCACTCAGATGTGTGGGAACCTGCCAAGACTCCATCCCTTGGAGGCAGGTACTATTTTGTCACTTTTGTTGATGATTTTTTCAGAAGAATTTGGGTGTTTACTATAAAGAGCAAGGATGAAATGTTAGGCATTTTCCTTAAATGGAAAGCTCAGTTTGAAAATCAGAAGGGAAGAAAGGTCAAGATCCTCCGAACAGACAACGGTGGAGAATACAAGAATGATCCCTTCCAAAAGATATGCCAAGAGTGTGGCATAGTTCGGCACTTCACAGTTAGAAAAACAGCGTAGCAGAATGGGGTGTCAGAGCGTATGAACAAAATACTAGTGGAGAAAGTACGTTGCATGCTGTCTAATGCTGGGTTAGACAGAAAGTTTTGGGCTAAGGCTGTGACATACGCTCAACATCTCGTCAATCGCTTGCCATCATCTGCAATAGGTGGCAACACTCCATTAGAGGTATGGTCTAAAAATCCTGCAACAGATTATGATTCTTTGCATATTTTTGGTTCTACTGCATATTATGATGTAAATGAATCAAAATTGGATCCACGAGCAAAGAAATCTCTCTTTATGGGCTTTAATACTGGAGTTAAGGGATACCGGTTGTGGTGTCTAGAAGCAAAAAAGACCATTATCAGCAGGAATGTTACCTTTGATGAATCTGCCATGTTGAATAAGGTAGCACAAGATGGGACCAGTGGTACTCCGCAACAGGTGGAGTATACGCCGAAACAGGTGGAGTTTGAGCAAATAATGGTGAGCCCAACTCAATAATTATGGAGATTTTCACCCTGGTTTCAAACGTGGTATAACCCTAATCCAAACGGGTATGATTAAGGATGGTGGGATAACTCCAGTTATAATTATACAACAGGGCTAATGAATTTTCAGCAGTATGAGTCTCAAGAATCATCATCTATGTCAGGTATGTCTCTTGAAGAAATAGTTGAATCAATAGCTACTAATACATATCAATTCCAACAGGAGACACAAATGAGAAATGGGATGATGAAGGATGCAATGAGTAATCTGGAAGATCAAATATGTCTATTGACATCCAGAATAAATCGATTGGCTTCTCAATTTGAAGAATTGCCCTCGAAAACCATTGTTGATTTTGAAGAAAATGAGAGTGCAATTTGCTTGACTAGTGATGAGGAGATGCAAGAGTGTCAAAATGAGAGATCTACAGATGTAGTTGAAAAAGAAGCCGAAAAGGAAGAAATGGAACCCCAACCGCAACCCATTCAAGTGAAAGAATCCAGTGAAGAATCATCAAATGTGGTGACACCACCTCTATTCCCTAACCCGCATTTTCTTAACTCTTACTCTATGATTTCTGTTAATGAGATTGATTTTGTTATACCGGAAGTTTTTGAGTCTCATGGCAGGAATGAGTTAAGAGTAGCTATGGTCAAATATCTTGAACCGTCGAATGCTCTTGATGGAGGAGTGGATGAAGAATTGCGATCAATGCTTGATTATTTGTCTCCATCGACTAGTCCATGGAAGACCGTAGCTCGTGTGCTCGAAGATTATTCCATCTATGAGGGTTACTAGGATCACATTGAAGATGAAGCATTGAAGCGAGTTACAAGATTTTATCCTCCGCGAACAAGCATAGCATGTCTAGCCAAAGACATTAAAGAAAGACGCTTTTTGGGAGGCAATCCAATTGTTGATTTTGTTATTTTTTTGTTCAATTTCTTAAATATGTCGTCTCTCACTTGGGTACTAATCACTCTTGATGTTTCCTCACTATGACCAGAATAGGTAATCTTGGCATGCCCACGCGAGCAGGGCACGTGTTAAGCGTCTAAATTCAAGTCTTATGGTCAGTGGATGTTTGTTAAACATGGCGTGCCCACGCCATGTTGGTCAAATCTCAACATCTCGCGACATTGGCAGAAAATGCAATCTTGGCGTGCCCACGCGAGCAGGGCACGCGTTAAAGTGCGGAAAGTGACTCAAGGGCAGTGGACGTTTTACAATCTTGACGTGCCCACGCGGTGTTTGAAGATCCAAAAATGAATTAAAAAAAATTTTTGAAAATTCAAAAAAATAAAAAAAAAACATTTTTTTTTCTTTCTCTTCAAATAGTCAAATTTTCAAAATTTAAATTCGGAAAGAAAAAAATTTTTGAAAAAAAAAAAACCCAAAAATTATTTTTTTTTCTCTTTCTTTTTTCTTTTTCTCTTTTCTTTTTCTTTCTTTCTTCTTTTTCTTTCTTCCTTTCTTTTCTTTCTTTCCTTTCCTTTTCTTCTTCTTCTCCGCCGTTCCCCTGTTTCCCACTTTTCCTTCTCTTCTTTCGTTCGTCCGCCGCCGCAAACCCACGCCGCCAGCTCTGCCCAGCCGCACCTAGCTCGCCACTCTCCACTCGTCGCACGTGGCCCACTCCCTCCACCTCGCTGTCCATCACTCACCTCGCGCCACCTAAAGCCCACCAAGCAGCCCTGCGCCGCCAATTTCCCGTTGCCCAGCTGCCATCGCTGTCGCCTCCAAGCTCCACCTCACGGACGACCACCAGCTCTCCTTCACACGCCACCCTAGCTTTCCTCTCTTCCTCGCGCGCCGCCAGATCCCTGCCACCTGCTCCAGCCACACGCGATAGTCTCTCTCTCTCTCGCTCACACCAACAGCTGCCACGGTCCATCCATCGCCCCAGCCGTGCCACCAGCTCCCTCCACCGGCTCTTCACTCTCCCTCAATCTCTCTCGCGTGCGACAGCCACCCAGCGCACCCCTGGACAGCCACGCGCAGCCGAGCGCGCCTCCATAGCTGCCGTACGGTGCCGCCCATCTACGCCATCCTCTTACTTCACGAATCATCGGTTTTTATTCCTCTCCACTCCTCTTTGTTTTTTGGGCGTTACTTTGGAAATTTGTTTGCTGAACTCACTTGTGGTTCCTCTGCTGCATTTTTGCCTAATTAATTCCGTAATTGCCTTCTGTGGGTCTGTGTTGAGCTCTGGTTGGCTCCAGTCAGTCATTTGTCGGCTTACCTGTGACACACTGGCTTTTATGACGCTGATTGTTGCCATAAATTAAGTTGGTTGCTAAGTTGATTGTTTGGGGTTTCTTAGTGAATTGAGTTTTCCGTTTGATTTAATTCTTCTCTGTGCGTACACCAGTGGTACTGGTTGTGGTAGCTTGCCTAACATTTATTCATTCTCTTTGGTTGGCTGCTTGATTGAAAGCTCAGAGCTTGTGACTAAGTTGTTATTGCCTAAATTCTGACCTGCTATTACTGGACTTGCTGAATTCTTTGGGCATTTTCTAGGGTTAATTTTGGGTGGAATTCAATTTATTTGCTACCCCATTTTGGGTGGTACTGATTGGTGTGTTTGGCTTTATCACATGTCTTGGGTTGGCCATTTGATTTCAATTTTCCTTGTGCATGCACCAATGGTACTGGTGAGGGTAGTTTACATAATATTTGTTACTCCTGTGTTATTGGTTGCCTAATCGACTACTGGGCATTTGTGGTTGAGTTGTTTCTGTCCAACTTCTGAACTGTTGTTGCTGGAGTTGCCATTTTCTTGGGTCAATTGCTAATTTTAACAGGTTGAAGTGGGTAATTGACTGTCCAATTGGAGACAGTTGTTACGATATTGGGTCCGATTGTGTCTAATTGCTGAAAGTTGTTGATTTATTAAGACACTAGCACAGTTTCTAGTTTGTTCGAGTTGCTGTTCTGTTGCATTATTGGGAGCTGTGCTCTAGCATTGTGGCTACTTTCTTGCATTTATTTGTTGAATTGGGATATGAATGTGCCGTTTACATTTGCTTGTTGAAGTCGGTTGCCTTTAATTGACTTGCTTGGGGTATTTGGAGCAGTTGTTGCACTTTGGACGGCCTTAATTCTGAATTTGACTACATGGGGTCCATAAGTACTTATTGATTGCATTTGCTATAAGTGTTGGGGTCTGGTTTAATCTGTGGGAGATTGAATTGTGCATTTTGCTCATTGGGATGGCCTTAAAAATTGTTATTGCTTTGAATTTTCGGCTTCCATTATTTGTTGGCAATTGTAGTCTCTTGTTGCTTAGAGTGATAGTTAGAGTTCATGGTGAAGCCACGAATGGCACCAGCTCCAGATGCGAGTTGAGAGACTAGAGACTCGGATGACCCACATTAACGTCACCATGCAGGTCTTGGTCCACAATTTTCACCTGAACTGCCCCTGTTTTGATGACTTCAGGGAAGTACCGTTGCCCCTCTCCTTCCTTCTACTTTTACATTATCACATTGAGGGCAATGTGTGCATTAGGTGTGGGGGAGGATCATTGTGGTGCTAGTAATTTTGTTTTTAGTTTCTAGAGTTTTTTGTTTTTCTTTATTTTTTTTATTTTTTTTTGTCCATCTTTCGTTTATTTCCTTTTCTTTTTGTTTTTTCTAGTGGTCAGTTCCCATTTGAATACCAAGTTTGATGTTGGATTTTTATCTCTAATTCTGATATTGCCAAGTTTTAGTAATAAAAGGGTATCAAGTTATTGTAGTTGAGTTCAGGAACATCTCTTTGGTGAATATCAGTAATTGCTGAACTTTTCCAATTTTTGGTTAACTTTTCGAAGCATAGGGAATGATTGTTGGCATTTTTCATGTGAATTGGTCTAGTTATTAATTTTAGTTCTCTATGTTTGGAAATTTGCGGCTGGCTGCTGTTATTTTTGTGTTATTTTTAGTTATTGTGCTATATGATTGTAAATAAGAGGTGACTGTACTCCGCTAGTGGTGACTACTGAGTAACCGGGAATTTTCACCTAAAGTGTCGATTCTCGCGTCAAAAGGTAGTAGCTACTATGAGTGCGTGGTCCCATAGCGATTGGAGCTGAGTAACCGGGCTCTTCCATCTGGCAAATATTGGAGTTCGCGTCAAAAGGCTCTAAGGGCTATAGACTAAGTCTTTTGTTACTTCAAAAAAAAAACAAAAAAAAAATAAAACAAAACAAAAAGAAGAAAAAAAAAAGAAGTAAAGTAAAGATTGTGTTAGTATGTGAATAAGTTAGCTTGCCGATTTGTGATCTTAATGTCAAGATTTTGGTTAATAGTTGGACAATTTGCTGATAAATGTGAGCAACCATTCCTTTTGCTTAGATTAGTTTGCTTTAAATTGGAGGAGTTGGTAGTTTAGATGCTAACCGGGGTGATTTTTCTTGGATCTTGACCTGTGTCGCTTGATATATGATTTTCTTGGTGTCTTGGCAATACGGTAGTTGGAGTAACAGCCATGGTCAAATTTTGGTGTTCAATTGTTGTTCTCATGCTTGAAGGCAAGCATGATTTAGGTGTGGGAAAAATTGATAGGGTGTTAATTGTTGGTTATTTTATTATTAATTTCCCCCTTTATCCTTACAAAATATTGTTTTAATTATTAATATTTACTTATATTTGGTATTGGACTCAATTTCAGGGAGTAGAACAGAAAAACACAAAATAGGAGGGACTTTCGGAAGACAATGGAGACTTCAAACAACCGGGCCCACATGGTGCTACAAAGGGATTGCATGTCCTTTGCTGATTAGGAGATTGGAGTACGAAGGTCAATAGGAAACAATAAGGGAATTGGGCAGAGTTTGACTTCTGGTAACCTTTCACTCAATTCGGCGGGGACCACGGAGTATGAAGCATTAGTCATGTTGGGCTTTTAAGAAGAAAGAAACGTACAGAGGCTTAAAAACAAGGAGTAATTCGGCAGCCTTGTTACTCATTTGTGGGGACCACCGAGAAAAGTGAGGCAATTGTTTGAGAATAGGGAACTTCGTTCTTTTGATTTCGTCCAATTCTTTCGTTTATTTATTTGCCCTTTTTCCGTTTCTTCGGGGGAGGCGACGAAGACATAGCTTGTTTTCAATAATTACTTCTGCACTTTTGCATGGGATTTCCTCGATGAAGATGAATTAAATCCCTTCGTCTAGTCGAAGAACAACGGAGGACTTGGTTCTACTAAATTTGTGAGATCGAATTAGTTTTTATTTATTTCCATTATTCACTGGTATTTGTCTATCTTCTGCTTTATGTTCATATGGTTGTTTTATTATTCGATTATCCAGGGCCCGGATTCTAGATTAATTCAATAACCTGAAGCCAATTAGGGTAGTTAAATCCGTAATTGTTTAATTATTCTAAACTGGTGGCAACTGGCATGATTGGATTTGTGTCAGGGGATAGACAGGCTAACTTAAAGAGACCCTCGTAGCGTGTTGATTGGTTAGAATTAGGCTCTTCTAATTATTCATGCAATTAGGGAATTGAACTTCTATGGTCGTACCTAGGGTTATTTCCTGATTAGAGAAATAGTCAACGGTCGTACCTTGGCTATCGACAAATTGAGGAAGAGTTGGTTGTTTATCGCGTGTATGACAACTATAACTAATTTATCAGATAGTAACTGGAATAATCCTTGCATCTGTGATCGAATTAAGTGAACCATCTCCGAAGTTGTCTCTTGGCTAGAGTTCGTCCATTATTATTTTTATTGTGATAATTAGTTATTTGAGTTGTAGTTATTTTATTTTATTTTAATTTATTCCAAGTAATTTAGTTACTCTCATTTTCAAAAACCCCCCATATTTCGGACTCTAAAAGAAATAAATTATCCCCAGTCCCTGTGGATTCGACCCTACTTATCACTATCTGCAGAAATTATATTTTATTTAAGCAGGTATTTATTATTGCACATGTTCAACACCCTGTCACCAACAAATACCACCATCAATGACTCTCCCATAGCAGAAGAAAAGTCAGATGAGGAAGAGGTTTTAACCCAAGAACCTCAATAGCGGCAAGAGTCAATTACCGTCAATAGGCCAAGACAAGAAATTCAAAAATCTGCTTGTTTTGTTGACATGGTGGCCTATGCAGTTCCAGTTGTTGAAGATGTTCCATCCACCTTTTTTGAAGTAGTTTGAAGTACGAAAAATGATAGATGGAAAGATGCTATGGAAGAAGAGATGCAATATCTTCAGAAGAACAAGACGTGAAAGTTGACACAACTACCGAAGGGCAAGAAGGTAATTAAATGCAAATGGATATTTGTAAAGAAAAAAGGATTTCCTGACAAGAATGATGTTCGCTACAAGGCAAGATTGGTGGCTAAAAACTACACTCAGAAGGAGGGAGTTGATTATAATGAGATATTTTCTCCCGTTATTAAACATTCCTCTATTAGAATTTTGTTGGCCTTGGTAGCACAGTTGAATTTGGAGTTAGTTTAACTTGATGTGAATACTGCATTCCTTCACGGTGATTTAAAGGAAAATCTATATATCTCAGCCAAATGGATTCAAAGTTGCTGGTAAAGAAGATTGGGTTTGTAAGCTGAACAAATCATTGTACGGATTGAAACAATCACCGAGGCAATGGTACAAACGATTTGATCAGTTCATGATGGGTCAGAAGTACACAAGAAGCAAATACGATCACTGTGTGTATTTGCGCAAGCTACGAGATGATTCTTATATCTACTTACTCTTTTACTTTGATGATATGCTGATAGCGTCAAAGAGTCAAGTTGAAATTGACAAAATGAAGGCTCAGTTGAGTAAAGAGTTCGAGATGAAGGATTTGAGAGAAACTAAAAAGATTCTCGACATGGAGATAAGTAGGGATAGAACGAGAGGCAAGTTTTGTCTGACACAGAAGCAGTATTTGAACAAGGTACTACAATGTTTTGGTATGAATGGAGATTCAAAACCTGTAAGTACTCCGCTTGCTCCTCATTTGAAACTTAGTAACCTATTATCTCCAAAGACGGATGAAGAGCGAGCATACATGGCGAATGTCCCGTATGCTAATGCAGTTGGTAGCTTGATGTATGCAATGGTGTGTACGAGTCTCGACATTTCACAGGCAGTTAGTGTGGTAAGCAGGTTTATGCATGATTCGGGCAAGGGTCATAGGCAAGCTGTGAAATGGATTCTACGGTATATCCAAGATACTGTAAATGTTGGATTAGTTTTTGAGCAGGATAAATCACTTGGTCAATGTGTAGTTGGATATTGTGATTCTGACTATGCAGGTGATTTGGATAAGCGACGTTGTACAACTGACTACTTGTTCACGTTTGCTAAGATGCCAGTTAGTTGGAAGTCTACTTTGCAGTCAACGGTGGCTTTGTCTACAATGGAAGTAGAGTATATGGCGATTATTGAAACTGTGAAGGAGGCAATTTGGTTTCAAGGATTGCTTGAAGACTTAGGAGTTAGTCAAAGAACACATTAACGTATTTTGTGACAGTCAGAGTGCTATTCACTTAGCAAAGAATCAGGTCTTGCATGCAAGAACGAAGCACATTGATGTTCGCTATTATTTCGTGCGGAAAATTCTCGAAGAAGAGGATTCAGACTACGAAAAATCTTGCAGATATGCTGACCAAGGTGGTTATAAGATCCAAATTTGAACATTGTTTATACTTGGTCAACATCCAGCACATTTGAATTGGCGCCTGAGGGCGCAAAATTTGAAAGCACCACAGGACCATTTATTATTTTTGAGTGAGAAGTTTGTATTTTTTGGGTGGGATTATAAATTATGCTAAGGTGGAGATTTGTTGAAATTCAAAGCCAATATTTGTTGACTTTGAATTCTTTGGCCTAACTCTCAAGCATCCTAATAGAAATGTACCAAAAACAAAGAATTCTTTTGTAATTCTTCCTTCTCCTAAATTATAAAAACGGGCTGCTTGAGCGGTGCTCGGAGATTAGGCAAAATTGGCTGAACTCCGTTATCAATTTTTCAGGTGCGTTCTTTCCTTATCTCTTTTATTTATTCCACATTTATTTGGTAGTTCCCTTTCAATTGTAGTATAGTATTCAATATATTTATCGGGTTTATTTGTAGTGTTTTATACGATTCATTTGGGTGTATTTTCTTATTCGTGTGCACGTAATATTTATGTATACACGGGTCTAGTTGTGATAATACATCGTGCACGTAAATTCTATCTAGGAGACTGAGTTTTAAGTGGGACCGTTTGTGACTCCTCCAGTCTTTCCTGGGAATTTATTTGAAATGATAATTCTGTCTAAGGAGATTGTTTGACAATCTTTCTTGAGAATTACTGAATCGGTTTAAATCACTAGTTGAATTTTTGAATGAAAAATTACCCGATTTCCCCAACAATAAAAACTCAAGTCTCCTACTTTATTCCTTCATACTTGCTTTGAAATGGATTCATGACATTATTTTGGCCTCAATAAAGAAGCGTCATTGAGATTAATAGCTATCTAACCCTCCATCGGAATATTTTTAGTATATATTGAAGGGTTTTATCAACATACTAACAACCGATGCAGTGAAATATAATTATTAGCAAATTTCTTGGGAGGTTAATGCTTACATCACCATGATTTTAATGAAGGGTCATTTCTAACTTCCACGTGTGTTTCTGATGGAGCCAAGGTTTTTAGAGACAATCACAATCTAGTAAATATTACCTATGTTCTGAAACTCGGATCGGACAATGATTTGGATGAGGTTAGGGGTCAAGGGTTAAAGCATTCGACCGAATTGAATAGGAACAAAGAACTCGATGACGTCATTAGTAAAAATTATTTAAAAATTAAAATACTATGTAAAATATTTAAGAGCGTGTTAATATCAATAAAGGTATACTTATATATATTTAATGTTTCATAGCTATTTAACACGAAAATTAAAAAAAAAATAGAACAACAAGTAGCAATTTGTATTATTCAATGAATATTAACAAGTTTAGAATTAAAACTACGGACTTATTTGAAAAATCAAGCCAAACTTTAAAACAATTTTTATAGACTACAAAATATTTCAGGTATATTAATAGTTTTTAGCATCCAAGGGGTCACGACATAATATTAAAAAACTTTGACCCCACATTAGGTTAAAACTTAATGTTGGAAAAGCTTTGACCCACATTCATGTTCCCCCTTTAGTTCTTCCAAACTCTGGTACACCAGCCCCACCGCTCTACTTCTTCAACTACTACTGCATCATCATCTTCTTCTCCTGCCATTTTCTTGACTCCTTCTTCTTCTTTTTTTTTTATTTTCAATTTCATTCTTGTTTTGTTAGTTATTTATTCTCAAACTCACAAAATATCAAACTTTTTATCTACTTTCTTTAAACTTCTTTCTTCTCCATCTCCTTTTTCTGCTATTATTCTTTTTATCTTTTCTCGGTTTAGAGGCAAGATCTAGGATTAGATCTTGTTTAAGAAAAGGTATTTTGATGGCTGAATTGAAGGAAGTGAAAAAAGGTAAATTTGTATTTGCAAGGGAGTGAGATCAGAAGGATTAGTCAGAGGCAAAGGCGGAAAGAGTCAACGAAAAAAATGAAAAGGCCCTGGTCCTCACCGATTTTAACAGTTTTCGGTCTAACCCAAATTTTGACTAAGTTTGATCGAGTTACTGCCACTCAAATTTTTAGGATAACTCAGATCGAACACTTGACCGATTCTCGGTTTGATCGGTCAAACAAGTCGGTTCTGTCCGAGTGTAAAAACCTAGAGTATCACTCCTTCTTTCCCATTTTGACAGTTTTGTTTTTCTTTTTTATTGTCTCACATTATAATCCACTTTCCAAATGAAAAATATAGTTAACTTTTAATTTCTCTAAAATGTCCTTATTTCATATATTTTGTTATCACTGAATATAACCTATTTTATTCATTAATTGCTTTGATTCGTATTTTAAATGGTGCAACTTTTCATCAATACTATTGTTGCAATTAATGTAAAGGTATAATGGTTAGTTATACTACTAATATTAATATAAATGTATTTTTTTAAAAAAGAAATAGTAGACTAATAGGTTGCATTTGCGTTATTAATTTTATGACTGTTTCTCTCTTTTATTTTACCAACTATTGTGTTAATTGGTAGATTCTACTTATATTTGGTAATTGGTGTTGGTTTGTAGGGATT